TAACTGGCTATATCATTAGCTGTGTATGAAGTGACTCAACGACAGTCGTGGCAAACGGCAGGTCGTGGGTGAATATGTGCTCTTGTTTGTTTTGTTACCTTTGTTCAACAAAGTGATTGAAAGTGGACTGATGTCTGTTTCTTTCCTTGACCAGTGGTGGAAGGACTAAAATTTGATCTAAATCATGGTGGGAGGCTCTATTAAATTAGCTAATAGAAGCAGCAATGTGCGGGTCACTTTTGATTAAATATTAAGTACACCATGTTCCAAACAATTTAATTTTTTAGCCTGAATAGAGTGTGATGTGGATTTTCCCTTGAGTGATTATGAGTATACACTGTGTATGGAAAAAAAATGAAATTGTCACACAAAATCATGCAAAAAAAAAAAATAGTTTAATGATTAACTTGAGTTTAACTTGAATGGCGACTTGATGTTTTACTTTTTCTTCAAGATAAAGAATGACATTAAGCAGCAGGGAAAAGGCATTTAGTGTGTTGGTGTATACCCGATCACAGTCAAACAAGAGTCTATAAGTGCGCAGTTTTGAGAAAATTCAACTAACTGGAAACCAAATGTGGAGAATATACAGTAATGTACAATTCAAAGAGGAAGACAAAAGTACAAAATGGCACAGGTGGTGCGCACATTGAACATTTGGCAAGCTTTGTGAAATCACTTATGAAACTTAATATGCATTTGAACATGTGGAAGGGATTTTGTTCAATAAATCTCTTGGTTTTTTTTCAACGTAAAGCATAGGACACATGTACATATTTGAAATAATGTCAAATTTCGAAACACCCTGTAGTATCTTTGCATTATATTGTTGCTACTTTTTACAAATCCACTTTTTCCACTTATTGGACAGTACCCGCCACACACACCCACACGCACGCACACACGCATGCACACACACACAGAGGTGCCCTTTCACCCTCCTCTATTGTCTTTCATCATTTATTATCAAATTATTTTTGAGTGTGCATGCCGGTCTTGAGATGCATCTATTTTACTTTTACAGTTGTATAACACTCAAGTCTTATTTCAAAATTGCCTGGGCAGTCAATAAATTTAATGATGGCAACAGTTGGGTCAGTTCTATTGCCATGAGTTGCTCAGTGAAAAAAAATGTTTTGCCAGCAGCTCGTGTTGGACTTTGGAGCGTTTATTGTAATGGTGAACATTCGAGACGGTTATTCCTTCTTCCCCTGAGATACAGGAAAAGAATAATCCACGTCAAGCCTGTGTCTGTCTGTCTGGGGGGTTAGCAGCAGAAGAAAGGAAGCAGTTAAATGGTGGAAGGAAGGAGATTTACAAAAAATTTAAAAAACAACACTGGGGGAGGAAACAGATAGATAGTTGATTCCACATTGCACACAATGTACCACAATTAAAAACAATGCTGACATTACACTAATCAAACCGACATGCAACAAGTTAAGTGTTATGATGTGCAGAATGTGTGAGAAATTAGCAGTCAACTCAATGTGAGTGTGCATGTGTGGGACTACTAAATAACCTGCAAAGGATGTACTGTACTAATAGAAACGTTTTAATACATATGTAGTTCGCTGGAACAACTTTTAAGTTTCTCTTTCAACTTTAAGCGACGAACTTGAACTCACCGGTTAGACTCACTCTCGTGTCGACGCGCCTTTTGTCCCGCACTGGTAGCCAAAACGCCTCCTCTGTCCTTCAAGCCACTCAACCGGGCACCACGGTAGCTCTTATCGCCTCTTCCATTTTTATTGCTGCGCCTTGGTGGGACAGTTCGACTTCAAACTCCTCAGACTGTTCAAACTGTGCTACGCGGGTGCCGTCACAGTGACGTCCTCGACAGATCACATGACAAGACGTAAGTCGACGACACCGAGCACGAGGAGAGCTCGACAATGTGAGATAAAAATATTCAACTGGCTTTTCCCACCAATTTTTCAAAATGTGACTGTCTAGTAATGTCACCTGGAAATGTCACGAAATTAATTGTAATTTCGTTTACTCTTGGTATGTTGGACTCCTTTTTTTCTGGGGCCACATTGGACAGTACAAGCGTTTGCTTATTAAGGCAATTATGACTGTAAAGTCAACAACATCAGCATTTTTTCGGTCCTCTGATTGGTTGGCCAGAGTAAGTCAAATTTGACGATCAAAGCAGGGGCGGAGCTAGATGGTGGCCAGGGGTGGTCACGGTCACCCCTTGTCACTCTCTCTGACCATCACCCACTCACGGCTATGTGAAAATTTTGATATATGTTCTCCCATTTTCACATGGATACAGTACTCTCAGACCCCTTGAGACTCTGCTACACGTTATTTATATGAACTACATATTTAAAGAATTCCATTCCATTATCTCAATATGCAATTCACCTGAGTACAAATTTTAATAAATTCTGTCTTAAGTAAAGACCATTGAATGATTGCAGTAAATGTTGATCAAAATAATAATATGTAAAATAAAATACTTTTCAAAGTCACAGCGATCCACAGTCAATAGAGGAAAGACGCAGGTTGCAGACCCCTAATTCTAGTAAATTAAGCTCAGCAAAACTTTTCTTCTAACCTAGACTTGTCCCTGCTCGATTAAGAGTGTGGTGGGCATTGTTCTGGAAATGTATGAATTTTATTTCATGAAACCCTGACTATGGATGGTAAGTGATAATGTAAGAATGATGCAGGCACAATTCTACTGCCATCCCTTACTTGGCCCTTCTCCACCACGCTTGTGCTTGTGCTTGTTCCGGGCCAGTGCCCAGGTTAGCACCAGTTAATTTTTTTTCTACCACCGAAATTGGCTCTAGCTCTAGTGCCTGAAACTGGTGCTTAAGCTGGCCCCAATTATTTGTTGGGCCAGACTCTGCCACCAACTACGTCAGGGGGCTGGGTTATCATTAACATCGCAGGTGTAGAGGAATGACTCTCTGGACACACAGAAGTTTTGCACAAATTATTGAATGACGAACTCTGTCACATTTGTGTCCCACCAGAAAAGCGATCGCAGGTGTGCCCAGACAGCATGCAATCTCTGACTCACAGCCAGCCTACATCATCTACAATGATGAAGAAAGATTATAAGCGTTTGCTGATTGCATGTCCCTGACTGTTATACAGTATACTACATACCAGTATAATCGATGCGATGCTTGGTTGCTTAGCAGATGTTTACAGCGCATTATTATTATTATTATTATGATTATGATTATTATTTATAGTGCAGGCGCTCTTGGGTAAACATTGACATAAGCAGTTAGGTTTGGACTCTTTACAATGGCATCTTTGGGTGTGGGCCTGGTTGTGATGTCATCAAAGGTGAAAGAGCAAAGAAACTAAGGAACAGTTCAGATGAGAGATCAAAGGGACACTTAAACTTGAGGGACGGCTCAAGTTAGAGAGACTGTGTGTGGGAATCTGTGTGCCTATATTAGGACAATACAGTATGACAATATGCTTATGTTTTGTGTTTATGTAAAACAGATATCCTAAACAGTTCTTACATCCATCCATTATCCAAATCGCTTATCCTCACGAGGGTCACAGGCATGCTGGAGCCGATCCCAGCTGTCTTCAAGCAGCAGGTGGGTTACACCCTGAACCGGTTGCCAGCCAATAGCAGGGCATACATAGACAACCATTTCCGCTCACAATCCCACCTCCGGACAATTTTGAGTGTTCCATTAACCTACCGTGCATGTTTTTGGAATGTGGGAGGAAACTGGAGTACCTGGAAAAAACCTACACAGGCACGGAAACAACATGGAAACTCCACACAGGAAGGCCGGGGCCGGAATCGAACCCCAGACCTCTGCACTGTGAGGCGGACGTGCTTCCCAGTCGATCAACGGGCCTCTGTTCTTGGAATAAAAAACAAATGAATTAGAAATTCAAAGCATTATATGGTGCCAGGAAATTCAAAAATCTTGATCTCAACTTCCATCCATCAATTTTTTTTCTGTCGTGCATGTCCTCATTTGCACAATAAGGGAGTTGGAGCCAATCTCAGCTGACTTCGGACAAGAGGCAACAAAGAACCTTCACTGCAAATAAACTAGTGAAAAGCTCATGGACGGTGTTAAAACAGATTGACGGTTTTGCATTCACACCATTCACATAAATCACTGTAGTCTAAAATGGAACACTGATATGTTTTTAAAACGGGGTGTCACCGAGCCTCAACTCTGACTGGTGTTGAAATTGAGAGGTGATTATTGAAGTTGACTGAGTAGAGTCGAAACAGTTTTCTTCAGCATCATTTTTCACCTCGCTTGCAAGGCGGAATCAAACTTCCCTAAGGTAGGCAAAATTCTCACATGAGGGTATTTGATGAAAAATGTTTTTGCCTCATAACTTGGTTTCCACTTGAGTTTTCTGGTTCATATTGTTTAAAACAGATAACATTAGCCAGTAATTAAGATTCCACGTCATCTTTACTGTGTTTTATAAGTATAGATGTGTATGAAATTGTTTTGTGTCCATATTCCTCTGTCTGTTTTGCTGCGATGTAATTTTGAAGGTGGCCCAAAGCCTCTGCAAAACCATGAGATATCTATCTATCCATCAATGGATGGGTGGGTGGATGGATGGATGATGGACGGATAGATAGATAGATAGATAGATAGATAGATAGATAGATAGATAGATAGATAGATTTGCCTGACAAGTGGCTCATGTCTTGCTTTTTTTCACATTTATATTTTTCTCTTTCTGTCTTAAAAAGCAATAATTTCAATAGCAAAAAAAAATTATATTTGATAAGAAATGTCTTTAAGAGCACAAAATAATATCGGTCATGTTGCAGCAACCCTGATCCTTCCCAGTGTGTGTACAGTTGCTGCATGCTGCTGAGTCATTTATACGAAACGTGATGTGTGACATCACTTGACCTTGTATCAGTACAAATGATGAAAAAGCAAAAAAAAGGTTTTCCCACATGTAAGGGAAGTATCAAGACAAATGATGAACTGCGTTGACACGAAAGAGATGAATTAAATGACGACATATTCTTTGACAGATCCCTCTTGTATTAACAGAAAGACATTATTTCACCATTCATTCAACCAGCCATCACAAAGCTTTGTGATAATAGCAGTCCATTCCACAGTACATTCTTCAGACTACAAGCGTGAATTGCTCTATTCTTGCAATGACATTGTGACAATACAGGGCCGGTAAATGACTGATCACCTGTTTGAAAAAGAGAAGCATAGGCTGAATTATTAATCGCTGACAGTGAAGTGTTGTATGTGGAGCAGGGGCGTTGACGACACCGCAATCCTGAAGTCCTAGATGTCATTTAGAGTAGCGAGCAAATGGAGATCCTTCGTTCATTTTGTCCTGTGAAGATTAAAAAATAAAATAAAATAAAATACTAGATGATCTTATATGATAATATGCTACATGCATTTAATATGTATTTAATTCACTTAATTTCATGCCGTTCGAAAAAGCGGACAATCCCCTTCCACTGATAGGGCTCTAATTGAACTACGGTAGTTGGAAATGAACATTTCAATAGTAAAAAAAATATAGAAGTACAACAAGACTTTTGATTTTGCAATAAAATACACATGTGCATGAATTACCGCTACCTATTCCCTGCTGACTGTCTGCAAGAAATGTGATTCCAATCCCTTACTAAGCTTTCTTTATTGTAGAGATAACAATGTGTCACAGACTAAATAATAAATATTCATCTGAAACTAATTCAATTATAGTTTCCCCTCTGACTCACGTCAGTACAGTATTTCAATGACAAAATCAGTCGTGTTGCAACAATACAATGAGCAAACAGGAAATGTAAATTATGACACTTCTACCAAACTTGGCAGCTTGTTTTGTAATATCTTTTGAAGCAAACGAAGTACAAAAGGTCACCTCCAACTAACCAACCTTCGGGTACCCTTTAGATTCCTCAGGTTTTTCTCAACGTCCCTTCTGCTCTCATTTATGAAGCCTGCCTCTTATCGGCCAGGCATCACCCCCTCACTTTGCACAGTCAGTGTTTGGACCTGTATGAGCGGGTTACAGCATGTGAAAATACAATGCGGGCCATTTTATTAGGCACACTATATAATGTGATCTAGCGCAAGAGACGCACCAACCGTCCTGCCTTTGCAAAGGTAATAATGCTCATTGTTGACTGACAGTGTTGATGATGGGTAAAGTAAGCTGCTATGCTGCACGAGTAACGCTATTAGGCCCAACAAGGAGGCACGTGGCACGCACTTCAGGGCTTTTCCATAATCATAAAAGGAGTTTAAGAGTGTACATTAATTTCTCCTGTAACATTTACATGATGATGTAAACATCTCAATGATAGTACTTAGAGTTTTGTACTAATGCTCAAAAAAAGGAGAAAAAAAATGACAATACAAACAGCCCTGCTTTTCTGAGACTTTGACTTTTTCAAGCATAATCATTCTTGTTGACGTAAAAGGGTAAGCAGAAAACCGTGGAGGGTCAAAGGAGAACAAGTGACGCCAGTGTGTTTTCAATGCCAGCTTTCATTCCCCGCCATGGTTGAGTGTTCAATTCCCCTGTGGAGCTCGTCGCTCAACAACAGTCACCATTCATTCACATTTGGCTACAGACGAGACTTATCACCCACTGCTCCATGGTGGCCTCTGCACGGGGAACACCATGACTGAGTGGCAACACAATGGCATACATGAGCTGAGCTCAACCTGTTTTTACCCAAATTTAGATTGATGGGAAAAAAAAACCCCCACAAATTATTTACCAAACATGTTCAGATACTTTAAATGTTTGTGTGTGTGTGTGTGTGTGTGTGTGTGTGTGTGTGTGTGTGTATACACACAGTATATTTCAAATCAATTCCACAGCTAAAAATACATAATTGTTAATTGTATGTACAGGCAATGTGTACAGTTCAATTGTTCTACATTTTCAGCAGTTGACTTTGTAGGAAGAGGTGACTGTGAACTACTCGACAGTCCAGGGGTGCTCAATACGTCGATCGCGATCGACCGGAAGCCCACAAACCTGTCCCAAGTCGATCGCAAGGGGTGTCGTGGGAAATGGAAAAAAAAAACAATTGTGTGTGTTCGTGTGAGTGTTATTAATATTATTGCTTTTATATTGTTATGGTCCAAGGTGTACCTAACTTTTCACCCCAAGTCAGCAGGGATAGGTTTGATGGACTATACCCCACCATGGTATAGTGCATCTATTTATTCAAACTATGGAAGAAAAAATGGATTGACATTCACAAATAACATCAGAGGACTGTAAAGCATTTAGGGAACAAAACCCTCCATGTACAGTATTGCTTTTCAAACTCACCATAGGCACATCTTCAAGCCTCTCAAAGTCGGACCTCGGTGATCGGATACATTTCACTGTGGCCACGATGAGCACAAGCGCAAGGATGATGCAGAAGATGGTGATGATGGCTACAAGGCCAGGATTGGTCCTCAGGTCCTCCTTACCAAAATCTTGAGGGTGAACTGAGAGGGCAATAAAATCAGAATTTGCATGATTTAGGGCTGTTTAAATTGAGTGATAAATTGGCATCAGTCAATATTAATGGTTTTAAATACATCACAAATAAATCGAAATTTTTAATTGCGTTTTTTTTTCCAGTGCTGTAGAAAATTAATGGATGGATAGATGCTCTTAACTGAAATATATTGTTGTGTACATTGCAATGAATCGCACAATTCTGGGGGAAAGGTTGACCTGGGCTGCCTAATTAGTTTATCATTCATGTCTTGGCGAAGCAGAGTGACCTCGGCTGGTTGATGTTTGGTGAGGTGTGACGACAGTTGAGTCTCTTAAGATTGTCGATGGAAGAGGTGTCGTCTCCTTGGAAGTCTGCCTGTTAACCGTGGTGTCATGGTCCTCCTGTATCCTGTTGGTTGTTTGTGGAGGCCGCGCTGTCTCTTGTGATGTTCCTGAAGGAGTGACCGTTTGCTGCTGTGTGCTGTGCCTGCTCCAACCTTCATTGTTTGTTTCTGTTAACATGGCGATCGTTGTCACGGGTGTCTGTTTCGTGTTTGAAGAGAAGCTGATGCCTGCAAAATGAACGTATATACACACACACACACACACACACACACACACATATATATATATATATATATATATATATATACACGTGAAATATTTGTTGGTAACAGTCGGACACAATTCAACTTGTTGTAATTGCAGGGAAGAAAACAGCCACTCAAGCGTACGCTTTTGATTTACAATTTTCTAGGTTTCTTATCGGTCAGCTGATCATACTCATTCTTCACTTGCTTAGTTTATGAAATGAGTACCTTGAGGAAGTGAAAGCAAATACGGAGTTGGAGCCAAGGGGTTTATCACGCCTGAGGTACAGTATGTCCTGGATGTATACAATCGATGTTACATACTCATAGCATCATGAATAAGAAATTACAATGATCCAATAATACATTTGAGCCGCAACAACTTGGAATAAAAAAATGGCCCTACTGAAAGGACACTGCAGTAAAACTGGTGCACGGTGTGTAAAACCAATGTAAATATCTTTCTTACAATTCCTTGCAAAGGCCCATTTTTCAGAAAGTGACATGTTGCTGTTCAGATTCAATGCAGTGATCCTCGTCTCGTGTTTCTAACAGATCACATTATTGCTCGAAGCATCTGGAACCAGCCAAAACCAAACCGTCATTTATATTTTAACTCTGATCAGCATGAAGCTGCAAATGCTGCTCCAAATAACTATTTTTTCCAATCAGTCTGTCAAAAGAAATGACCAAACACACACACACACACACACACACACACACACACATACACACACACACACACACACACACACACACACACACATCTGTAACCAGGAGAAATATGACTTACTCTGACTGATGGTCACAGTCAACAGGGAGATGAGCACAGTCAGATGCATCAGTGCTGTATGTTGAAAAAGGAAAAAGCTGGCAACACGCACTTGCGCACACACATCCTTAAGAGCAGGATGCGATGTCAGTGTGTTTGACCAATGCATAATCTCCTAAAAGCTTGCTGGGCAATGTTTGAACAGTAGCCTTGTAGGCACGCCGCTCTCCATTCCTGATGCTGCAGCACTTCTACACTGAAGCTGGCACCTTCCTATATGAGCAAAGTGGTTTGATGATTCTCCTGTCTTTGCAAGACTTCATTCGAGAAACACTGTAAGGAGAACCAGGAGAAAGTGAATGCCAAATCTAATCTTTACAAAGACAGCCTTACTCAATTTTGATGGACACTTGTCAGACAGAGATGCAGACATATAAAAGAATATTTATTCTTGTTTTGAATGTTTGTTATTGACAGCGGTGAAAAACTCCACCCCATCATAAATTCATCATCAATCAACAAGATTATTAATGATATTATGTTCACGGCATGTGACAGGCATAAACAAGATAGAAACATGATGGTCCACGAGACAGATCGGAAGCACTTCTCTCAACAGTCGAGTGTAGTCTCGACCAGTGAATCCCAACCATGGTGCCAGGAGATCTTGGGTCTTCAGGTGTGCCGCAGGAAATCATCCAATTTCACTTTTTTCACATTTCATTTTCACAAAACGTATTGGCATGTGATGTATCTTGATTCATTTATCAATGTCAGCAATGTAAAGTGACAGATAGAACAATGAAATGCTCTTCCGCTGCAAGGCAGGTCAAATGTACCTGTGCCATTCGTGCAGCAGAAAAAAAGCTTTGTGTTCAAGTTCGAAGAACTGGGCCCGGTTTTCACAAAGCAAGTCAGTTTGTGAGTAAAAAGAGGTGAGGTCATCATTATTATTTCGGTATACGCAGTACGCTTGGCGCCTTTTTCTGTTGGTGTTGTGTTATGAAATGTTTCTGCGATATTGTTGTATAATTACGCTTTCATCGTTAAATGTGGTGTGACAGTGTTGATTAAAAATGTATGGCATCTCATTTCATTGCGCAAGTGCACCCAGTGAACGTAAGTGCAAAATGGATTGCATTGAAATGAAAAAAAAGTGACATAACTGTGACTTTCCTGTCTTCTACATTTAAAAAATAAAAAAAAGCTTGATACAGGGAAAGAGTGAAATATGTTTCCAAGTATTTTTTTTTTTTTTGTATTTATAGATGCTTTCATAGTACAATTGTGCACGGTGTGTACTGTAGCTTTTGGTTACATTTTATAATACCCGAAACATTTAGAGCTAAAAATGTTAAGGCCAAAGTAATCGCCTTCGATTAAAGTTGCAGCATCAATTATAACATGTCAGGAATGCTGGTCCATGCTGCCAGGTTTCATCAAAGTTGAATGTCGTTTCACCTTAATTGTCTGTAGTTTTAGTTTGCACATACCTACAAGAAGTCGGACTGCATGCTAATGATAGTTACGTAAGAGCAGCTGCTGATCGTACAAGATGCCGTGCTTTACATCTGATCAGCTTAGTCGACTAACTGCAACTGCTATTGGTGTCTCGTCGAAATCATCGGTTTGTTGTAACCCTAGTTGCGAAATGGTTTCGCATAGCCTACACGGACTGGTTTAGTGCTCAACATACACGACATGCATAACATTTGCCGGGGAATGCAGAAACTGAAACCTGTATTACAAATGTGTGTGTGTGTGTGTGTGTGTGTGTGTGTGTGTGTGTGTGTGTGTGTGTGTGTGTGTGTGCGCGCGTGTGGGAGGGTGATAACTTGCGCCCTTCCAACTAAACCTACCACCCCAGGTAAAACTGTCTAAAACTGCCAATGAAAATACGTTTGATGACATTTTGGCTCTTTATTTTACACAGTACGATATTTATAAATGTATAAAACACAAAGCCAAGAGTTTTCTTATGACACGAAAGATTTTTCAGGGGCAAACTATTACATCGAGCAGTTTATGAGACAAAGTCGTCTTGTGACACTTTGCCGCAAGAGTGCATCATGATATCTTGCAATAGTCATAAACCGGCAGTTTCAAAATCAAGCTTTCCCACATTTTTAACTTACATCTCAAATGAAGCATCACTAATATCCAAGATTTTAATCTGATAATGAACGGAATTTTCTTTCACGGTTGACTAGTCTCTACATTATCGTGATCAAATCATCTTTTTAAAAAAATGCAGTGATTGCTATCGAGTTGAAAGAGAGGCCATACTGATGGAAAATGAAGCACTGTTTTCCGACAACAATTACTGCATGTGCATGCACAAAAAAAGATTTTTAAAAAATGGCGACCATGCTACACTGAAAACAATACAGCGCAGCAAAATTTCTCAGCGGATAAGACAAACTCATTTTTTTTTTTTTAAAGTGATTTAAAATATTTTTTTATGTAAACCTGCTTCCCCTTTCAGCATAGAAGAGTTGAGCCTGTCTCAACAGACGTAGGCCGAGAGGCGGTTGCACCATCGATGCCAACCAATGCCAGGGCAAATACGTTCATGTTGGATCAAATTAATATTTTCGTGTGGTGTAAAATAACAAAATGCACCTCTGTAGAATAAGTTATAAAAATATTAACTTAAATCGACGTCAGTATTTTCCGAGTCACAAACCCTAATGTCAAGTGAAATGATTTATAAATAAATACTAAATTCTCTGGTGATCTGGGTCAAAGGTTTTGGCATGTAAAGGATGGATGTTAAGTACTTGGTATTTATTCACAGTGACCAATCAAATTTGGGATTTCTTACTTTGGAGTACATGCAGGAGTGCTTCTGTCTTAGGTGTTGTCTTCTATATTTTTAATCTCGGAATGTTGGCACAAACATGGGACACCATCACACTGTGCAAATACTCTGACATCATGAATGCAGTCACTTTAAAATGAATATGAAAAAAGGTGTCCCAACAAAACGTTTGACATCCACCTGCAGCAGTTTTGACAACGGTCAAGAGCAGCCGTCTAACTTCACCATCCACTTTTCTCCTCCAGAGGTTTGGATGGTGGCAAAGCTTTCTGCTGCACATCTGCCAGACTGTTATCTGACAGCAGCTCCGAGGGCTGACTGTCATCCTGCACACATGAGCATACGCACAAAATGTCAGTAAAAGTACATTTTTCACGCGCAAATCAAAAGGAACATGAGGAAGAATGGCCCTTTAACCTCCTGCAAGGCCGACTTACTCTGTGTTTTAGGTAGGAGAGGTAGGTGTCCCAGCCCAAGGTGATGGTGTTGACATACACAACACGGAATTTGGGTGAGAGGAAATAAAAGTTGATCATCTGAGCCGCGGGCCAAACGCACCAGTCGGCCTGTCAGCAGGAGGAGGAACACATCAGCACGTAAACAAATCCAGCGGATTAGCCAGCGCAAACATTGGTTGACGCTATGCATTACAAGGCAAATGTTGGTACACACAAACCCGCAGAGACATCGAGGCTCAGTTTGCTGCATCAGCCACTTTTCGCTTATCAGTTTTCAAAGTTGGAAACTTTCCATGGGAATTTAGCAGACTAAATGAGGGATTTACAATATTGAAGGGAATAGTCGAATCAATACTTGAGCACAGTCCTGACCAAAACAACCAGGTTTAATGCAAATAACTGGCACCTTTGTTTACGAGTTGGTTGTTAATTCTTGCTTTCTGTTGCCAGACAAAACTTGGGGTAGAAGCAAACTAGCGCCGGTGTCCCGAGTGAAATGGAGAAAAAAAAGGAGCAACAAAGGTACTACAAAGTCATAACATGTGGGCAAGGAGAGCTAACCATTTTGCCTGGATGGCTGCTGATGACATATCAAAAAGGTTAGATTTTTGTTTGAATATGATACCGTTTCATTGAATTAATTCCCAGTTAATTTCCATAAATCGTCAAAATAAACTTGCAGTCTGTCAGCATAATGCATGTGAGCCATGTCCCAGGCATACAGTCAGTGAATGTGGGCGAGGCCTTCCTTGACTGTATCTTTTTATGGTCTATACAATATAGTGTATTTGCATCTTATACAGGGTTGGTGTTCAGGGCATTCATGTTGCTCAAGGTCTATGTCGCAATCTACTGGTGAATTCCCGACAAGGTGAGCACATGCTGAAATATCACCCTCTACCAATCAGAGGAAAGGGCCATTTTCAATTTAAGGGGAGCAGCAATCTGACAAAAGACAGGTTCTTTCACATAACAAATATGAATGCAAAAATGGCCCATTGAACATGCCAGGCGTTTTGGACCAACGAAAATAGCATGAAATGTGTTTCACAAAACAAAATGTAACTTTGACAATGAGCAATAGATGAGGAGATGACAATTACCTTTGAGGTGAACCTCCTCATTTAAATTGGATTTACACGACATGGTTCAAGTAGTGACAATTGTGATATTTTTTTTTCCCTCCCAAGTGGACTCTGCCCTGGTTACTTTCACCATTTGATACTGGGCAGCCAGGATAGAGATGTGTGACCAGCGAACGCTTTCATACATCGATTTCCTGTACTAGAGTGTTCATTGACCTCTCCTCATCCAAGTATTCTAAATGAAATATTCCACTGTATTTACCAGTGGTGCAGTCACGTCAATATAGTTAGCGTGCCAGCATTTTTTCAGGCCGGCTCAATCCGTCCAAGTCATCGGTGACAGCCAATCAGCGTTGCGAACGTATTTGCCATACGATGTCACAGGTGGGCTCACACAAGGAGACAATCAGCGAAAAAAAAAAAACAAAAAAAAAACAGCCTTGTATATCTTTGGTCCCACAGACCACAATGACATTGTCTCATATTGTTTTTATTTCCCCACTCACCATGCTGTGCGTGTGTGTCATTTTTTTTCTTTATTTGGCTGCATGTTTGATTATGTGGTACCTGTGTGTGACATAGTAAGTACGTTCTTGACACGGATAGGTTGTCGCCGACGAGGGACTGCCCGGGCCCATGTGGGGCGGCCTGAAACAATGACAGCGTGCTGCCCGATGGAGTGACATGCCCCCCACTGGTATTTACTTTATTTATATGTGGTGTTTGACAGCTTTGTTTTTATTTATCCAAATGAGAACAATGCTGACTGGTTGAGTAGTACAAAGCACTGTTGGAAACAAGAGAACATTTCGAAAAGTGGCCTCCACGCTACACTGGAATGTTTGTGTTTAAATTACAAGAACACACAAAACTAGACCCACTTGTCACCTCTCCATTGATCCCTGGTGTTCCTGCATGCACGTGCACTTACTTTATAAAATTCCCAGAATTTATCTCTAAACTCCTCCCATCCGTGGGATAAAGAGCGTCCTTCCATGACCCCCATACCTGCAATAAGCACAGTTGTGAGTCAGTCGTGCGTCAGCAAGGCGCTTCATCAAGACAAGCTTGAGATAAATTGCACACTTGTGGTGAGCTCAACTGTTATAAAGCATTGAATTGCTGCCACCGAACAAAGCGTCAGTCTCATTTATCACATACAACCTTTGATCTACTTCTGATATGAAAACATACCGTCTTTTGTCTTACCTCACCCACATCAAGGCCTCCACCTTTGACACTTTTACTCACCTGTCTTACAGGTGAGAATGTTGTTGAGAAACATAATGTTTGTTCCATGACATTCATTCTACATTTTAAAAGAACACAATGACATGACCAAATTTGGCCAAGGATCAGAACCTTGCCAGTCCCTTTGGCCTTCAACAGGCAACGCAGACCTCTAGTCTAAATCAATGTTTCCCAACCTTTATTAAGCCAAGTCACATATTTCACATCAGAAAAAAATTCGCGGCACGCCACTTGGCAAAATGATGCATAAAAACTGGATACACAGGTTGATTATGCACCTTCTGTCATCTACTGGAAACACATGTAATTGTTTTGTCTGTTACTATACGTTCTTGACATAGATCAATTAAAATGTTTCATCAAAAATAAATACCTGATGATCTCTCATGTCACCGTAATGTGCCATGACACATTGGTTGGGAATGATTGCGCTAAATTATGAAAAATGGCTGTGTGGGGTGAGAAAAAAAAATGACGACAAAAAACAACAGTTCTCACCTAAAAAGTACCACATGCCAAGTGTTGGTGATGCTATCATCTGATCCACCAGAACCTTCTTGACCACTGTGCCTACGGCATACCCCACAAATCTTTTGTCCAACCATGTGTACCAAAAGTGCAGCACAGGACCCATGGAGCAGCCCACTACAAACATACGACCTTTTGGGAACAAGAAAGGACAAGAAAATTCATGAAAAATACTGATGACGTTCGCACACACAGTATAATAGAACAACAGCTACCCTATTACAAGACTTTCAGAAGATGTATATTTTGAGGGTCTTTAGTTTGTAGAGATTATTCTTTATTAATCGATTTGATGTCATCATTATTACAATGGCTCACTCTTTTTTTTCACGAGCGTCAAAGATATTGTAATAATTGTTTCTGGATCAATCTAATATAAAACACCTTTTTTACTGATAATATTGCCGGATTCTCTGAATTTTTGCTTGATTTTCACACAATTTGCATATAGAAGGCTCTCCGCAGTAATGATAGCTGTCTTTCACGATATTGCATCAAAAATAAAAGAATACTGTATAGACTTGCTTGAAAAGATACAGTAGATACACTGTCAAGGAAGCAGCGTCAAGAGAAAAACCAATGTCAAAATATGTGTATTTGTCACACTTTTGTGAACAAAACATTTGGAATACCTCAAAAACTAGAGCCAATACAAGGAAAAAAACAATGTCATTTTCGGACTGGGCGGCATCAAAATGCCCTATAACCATTGAAACTTGGTGGCACCAAATTGTGCATTGACCAGTGTTATCAGAGTGAATAATATGAATGAATAAAGATTCAAACTTTAAGTGAAAATGCTTTTAAATCTGTTTTATGGAATTGCCTTGTGTATGAAATGTGCTAAATAATAACAATAATAATAATAATAATAATTTTTATTGCTAATGCACTCTACATTTGGAGACAAATGTGAAAAGTGTATAGCACAGACAACAGGAAACAAAATAGCAATAACAAACGTCTGTCGACAGATCAAAGGAACAAATCAACTTAAAAAAAAACCTCAACAGATCACATAAAAACAGTGTAATGACACCATCTAGTGAACGTGAAAACATAATTACACTTAGTGACGTTATGAAAGGCTGTCAGCCACGCTTAGCTTGGGCCGGCTTTGCAGCTAGCAGATCATGCTGGCAAAAGGCGCCGCATAAAACACAATATAATTCAATACAATGCATCTTTATTTGAATAGCGTTTTTACAACAGCTGCACCAGTCACTACATGTTGCTGACTTCCTTTATTACAATGGATAACTTTTTTTCCGCGAGTGCCAAAGATATTTAATGATTTCTGGATAATTGTTGTTTTTGATTATTCTTAATTAATGACCGAAAGTGACTTCAAGATTAAATGTTTCATCAAAAATAAATACCTGATGCTCTCTCATGTCACCGTAATGTGCCATGACACATTGGTTGGGAATGATTGCGCTAAATTATGAAAAATGGCTGTGTGGGGTGAGAAAAAAAAATGACGACAAAAAACAACAGTTCTCACCTAAAAAGTACCACATGCCAAGTGTTGGTGATGCTATCATCTGATCCACCAGAACCTTCTTGACCACTGTGCCTACGGCATACCCCACAAATCTTTTGTCCAACCATGTGTACCAAAAGTGCAGCACAGGACCCATGGAGCAGCCCACTACAAACATACGACCTTTTGGGAACAAGAAAGGACAAGAAAATTCATGAAAAATACTGATGACGTTCGCACACACAGTATAATAGAACAACAGCTACCCTATTACAAGACTTTCAGAAGATGTATATTTTGAGGGTCTTTAGTTTGTAGAGATTATTCTTTATTAATCGATTTGATGTCATCATTATTACAATGGCTCACTCTTTTTTTTCACGAGCGTCAAAGATATTGTAATAATTGTTTCTGGATCAATCTAATATAAAACACCTTTTTTACTGATAATATTGCCGGATTCTCTGAATTTTTGCTTGATTTTCACACAATTTGCATATAGAAGGCTCTCCGCAGTAATGATAGCTGTCTTTCACGATATTGCATCAAAAATAAAAGAATACTGTATAGACTTGCTTGAAAAGATACAGTAGATACACTGTCAAGGAAGCAGCGTCAAGAGAAAAACCAATGTCAAAATATGTGTATTTGTCACACTTTTGTGAACAAAACATTTGGAATACCTCAAAAACTAGAGCCAATACAAGGAAAAAAACAATGTCATTTTCGGACTGGGCGGCATCAAAATGCCCTATAACCATTGAAACTTGGTGGCACCAAATTGTGCATTGACCAGTGTTATCAGAGTGAATAATATGAATGAATAAAGATTCAAACTTTAAGTGAAAATGCTTTTAAATCTGTTTTATGGAATTGCCTTGTGTATGAAATGTGCTAAATAATAACAATAATAATAATAATAATAATTTTTATTGCTAATGCACTCTACATTTGGAGACAAATGTGAAAAGTGTATAGC